TTTCAGTAGATCTGAGTCGTCAGATTCTACATTGCGTCATATGCAGCTTGGAGACGTGTCCAAAATTTCAAGATTTTCTTTTTATTTCTAAACCGATTCAGAATTGTCCTGAATCGGCGAAGATGAAAATCGAGTGCAGTATCGTATTAACTGTCACTCTCAGAGATAAATTTGGTGATGAAATATCTTTAACCCGTTTTTGTTTTGTAGCACCTTGTTTGAGCGTGTCTTCTGCAGGTGTACATGGACTTTTTTCATCTGAAATCATTTTGGTACTTTTAACAATGAGATGTTTTTGATTCTTTGATCTGAGCTCATTTAAAAATTGTATGAAATAAATTCAAAATTCCTCAGTGTCGACGATGGATAATTCAACCGTAAAAAATTTTTTTGTTTGTTAATTAGGTTCTTAATTTGAAAATAACTGAAAAACCGGCTTAGTTTTATAGATAGTGTGTATTTATTTTTAATTTAATTATTCAATTATTGATAAATTGTTTATCTATTTTATTTTTATTTTTTGATGTCCTTATTTAGGGGTATGTAGGTATACCCTAATGCGTGGACTTGTAGATATGTATATATGTACTTTGGCAATTGAGAGCTCGTTGAAGAGATCAATGCACTTTGTACCTAGGTATACACGAATTAGTGTGCTGAAATTATTGTGCGCAATCCTGCTTGTGTTTGTTTGCCAAAGAACAAGGGGTATTGCGGGATATTGCCAAAATGGACTTTGAAGCAATTTAGTGAGAATTTTTTATATTATTGTGTGTTAGCTTTCTTTTACCAAAAATTTTTTTTTTTTTTGTAATTATTAATTATTTATGTAATTAATAATTATTTGTTGCTATTTAACCGCACTGTTTAATCAGTTTTAAAATAATCGATATTTAAATAATTAAATTAATTAAAAAATGTATTTGTACCCACTGTATAGGGTATGTGAGCATAGGCAGATCGATGCCGTATGTACAAGTGTGATTGTATATACTGAGCACGCGTGGTTTTTTCGGCGTGAGAGAAGCGTGTGGAGAAAAAAAAATTGTAATACGCAGGTATTTTCCGACTGCGCTTAAGCTAATACATTCTGATATAATATATATGTAAAAATATAAGAGAATGTTTAGTTAAGAGATTTATCGGTAAATGCAATTTGCATATTGTATATATATGTATGTTTGTATTTTTGTCTTTTTGCTGTAGATTCTAGCTGTAATTGTTATTGTGCCTTTAGCTTACTTATTGTTACGCAGTCCTGCTTATTGCTTTATTAAGCCTAAGGGGTACTGCCGGAAATTCTTTGCAAGTAAATACTTGAATTTTTGTTTTTTATTTTGTGGTTGTTGTGTGTATATATATATATACAAATGTAAGCACATAAGTTTAGGCAATCAATAATTTGTTAATATAATATATATATTTACGTATATGTGTAAATATAAGTATATATGTATATAAGGATATTCACCCGATTTTTTGTTTTGTATGTATCGGTTTTTTTTTTTAAATTTTCCGTTAACGTTAGGAAAAATTATAAGTATTTAGTACTTAAATTTTTAGTTCCGTTTTTTTTTTTTTTTTTTTATATATTTTCCGTTAACGTTTCCTGTACCCGTGCTTTCAAACTGTTAAAACGGATTTTCCTAGTTTTAATGGTATACAGGATTTACAAACATACATATAATAAATTATAAGAAAATGAAAACGATACACTCACTTTGTCTCGCCTCAAGGGGTTTTGAGAGAATGTGGTTTTCTTTTGAGGTTTTTGTTTTTTTTTGGTTCCTTCTTTCCCAACTTCCTTCACGCCAGCGTCCTGATGCCTGTTGTGCAGCTCTCTTCCTGTGTTTTTTGTTGTTGGCTGCTATATATTTTGTTTTAGTCTCGCGCCCGTTTTTGATTAATATTTTTTTGTTGTATATTTTCGGGTTTCGCGCCGCGTTTAGTTTTTTTTGTTTTTCGGTTTCGCGCCCGTTTGTTTTTGTGTTGAAGTAATTTTTGTTTTTATGTTTTTGTAGCACAGTTAATATGTGTTGCCTCTTTTCCACTTTTTTTCATATGTGTATATGTTACGAACATATGTTCTCACTCACTTCACTAATCTTTTTATACATATGTATGTATGTATGTATATATATGTACAAATATTTTTTTTTTTTTTTTGTAGACTGCACTTCGCTTATGCTCACATTTGATTTTTTGTTTGTTCACTTCTTGGCACCGACACTTTGTCACCGCACCTTTTGTTTTTGTTGTTTTTAATGAAATATATATATATTTTTCCTGTTTTTTTTTTTGTAAATTTCTGTCACATCACTTTTTCGTTTTTGTTCACCTTTCACTGCACTTGTTTTTGTTTAAATGCACTGGTTCTTTTTTTTCCACTGTTTGTTAATTTTTATTTTATTTTTTCCACGTTATTTAAATTTTTTTTTATGTTTTGTACCCCATAGTGCCGTCCACTAAGGCTCGAAGGACCATATTTATTTAATTAATAAATTAATTTTCACTTCACTCACCTTTGCAAAAATAATTTAAAAAGGAAGAGTCGATGCAAAAAAAGGGACGGATCCTTCTTTGGTCCCTTATATTCTGTTGATGTCTTCATGGTGGTGTGATCGGTGTTAAGTTGTATTTTGTGTGCGTGTTGGTGCATGTGTAGTGATGTGGAATGTATGGTAGTAGGTGTGGAATGTATGGTAAGTAGGTGTGGTGATGTGGATGTGCATTGGTGTAGTGTGACAGTGTCTTACGGTGAGGGGATTGAGTGGTCATTTAGCCAGTGTGTTTAAAATTTTCTCAACACCTCTAGTATTATCTGAGGTATGAGATCGCTGCCTAATAGAATGTCCATTTGAGGGGGTGTTGCAGTTGGGATCTGCTAGTTTCAGGGGTGAAACCTTTTGCCAATGCTTGCTATTTGTATGATAGCTTGGAAGCATATTTTTAGCTGCGGTAAGACTATAGCTTCTGCTTTAATTCTCTTATCCGCTTGGGGAGAAATTAGGGTAATGGGGCAGATTTTATTAGAGTTTTGAACTTCTTTCCGCCCATTCCTATAATTTCAAAGTTGGCTTGTTTTGTTGCAGTTGAAGCCTATTTTGTGCCCTAGACGCTATGAAAGATCGTTGTGATCCTGGTCTATTAAGGCCCTTAGTAAACAACCTCCTCGGTGTTCGATGGAGACGACTGCTGTGCGTAGTAGTACCCTACTTTGGTTTTCGCTGTGTAGCGTTTGAGTGTTTTGTGCCTTGAGCAGCATGGTGCTTCTTGGCAATTTTCGGTTTTCGGTTTTGGGAGTTGTTGTTACTACTATACCTGCGATTCTTTGTATAGGCGCTTCTTTGGTGTGATATGGGAAATTTGCTGTATAAAGCATTGAGTGGGTGTTTTTGTGACAATATAAGCAATTGAATTTGCATGTGACAAACAATTTGTACATATACCTATTTTTTATCTCACGAAATAGTTTTTTGATTGTACTGTTCGGATGTGAACGTTTGATTTCTAGAGAAGCTTCTATTTAAATTGTTGTTGCTACAGGCTTGGGGTCTGTGGAGCTTCTATTTAGGTCGTGTTGAACGGTTTTCGTTCCGACCATTTTTATCTACCCTTTTGCGATTTCATTTTGGGTAGTTAGGAAATCTTTCATGCACGTGGGGCATTTTCTTCGTGATGAGAGCGATTGCTCCAATAGAAGTAATAATTTTTTTGGTAATGCGGCAGTGCATATGTTTACCACCATTAGTGCGAACTGTTTAACATTGCGCCTGCTTGACCTTTAGTTTTGTATCGGAGGTGATACAATTTTGCGCTTTTGATATTTTGGATGGTTAATGTATACGGCGGTGAACATGTCCGAAGGACGGCCATTCTTCATAACCTCCATAAAATATTTCTGTGTCACATGCGGGCACCTCGAGTTGGATGCCTGAACTTGCCTCTTGATTTTGTACTTGTGGCAGCTCTACTCGCTGATGTGGAGGAGGTGCAATTGCTTTTATTAGCTTTAATTGATCAGAAATCATAGCTTTTGTTTCTTCGTACTGGTCAAAGCAGTTTTCGTATAGTGCGTAAGCCGATGATTTAAAATCGTGTGGTAGATCTGAATTGTCATAATCTACTACGGCGTCATGAGCCGTTTGAAGACAGTCCAAAATTGTCAATATTTTGTTTTTTTATTCCAATAATGATTCAGAGATGTCTTGAATCGTGTAAGATGAAAATCGAGTGCAGTATCGTGTTAATCTGTCACACTCAGAAAGGAATATGGCAACCTGTTTTGGGCGTGTAGCTGGTGTAAGTCTTAATATATATAAATCTCGTGTCACAATGTTTGTCCTCAATGTACTCCTAAACCACTTAACCGATTTTAATAAAATTCGCACACCATGTGCAGTTCAATCCAACTTGAGAGATAGGATAGTTTAAATCTCAAATTATAATCGCAATTTTAATTTATTGCTAATTATTTGTCTGTTATTATTTGACAGTCACAATTATCTGTTAACTCAAAATGATTCTAACAGATGTCGATACCTTTCGACTGGGTTGAGTAAGTAATCAATAGATGGCGCTGCTATGGTAAATCTACGAACGTGTCATATAAGCTACATTTTAACAGCATAATTGCACAATTTTCTACACTTATTCAATAGTTGTACAAATATTTAATTTTTTTGTTTTTATTTAACCTCTATTAAAAATTATTTAGCACTTATTATTTCAATGTGCTATGAAAACAAGTTTTTCAGATTTTTTTTCTTATATTTAAACGATTAAATTAGTATTTCAATTCTTATTGAAATTATTATTTAAACTCTATAATTTAAATATGTACATGTCAGTATTATCACATAATTATAAAAGTTAATTAGAATGATTTTCAATTTTTTTTCTCATATTTAAACGATTAATTTATAATTAACCTCGACAACGCGAGCAGCAAAGGGTCACGACGCAAACGTATTGAAAGAGCCCAGCAATTACCAGAACACATCGAAACAAGAAATGCAGCTCAAAGAATCAGGACTGCAGAAAGTCGTGCACAAGAATCTCAAGAACAGTGTGACGAACGTCTGCAACAGAATATTACGAGAAAAAGAGCGGCACGAAAACGAAACATAGCTACAGTACGAGTACGAGATCGACAAAGGCAACGGATCAGCCGCTCATTAACACGTGCATCATTCGTTCGGCTTGCCTTTGAATATGCACCAGATATTAACTACTCAGCGCATTCAAAAATTGCTATCGGTGGAATGGATATAGTATGTCAATATTGTCGGGCATTGAAATTTCGGAATGAAGCAGCCGGCATGTGCTGCGCATCAGGAAAAGTTGTGCACTCATCTCTACCCGCTCCGCCGGAGCCTTTGTTATCCCTTCTTACTGGCAATTCAGATGATTCCAAATTATTTTTGAAGATCACAATCAGCTAATTCAATTGATCAAAAGAGTTTCGCCCCGACTGCAAAATGACAATTATCAAATCGTCATAAAAGCCGACAAAGTACCATTAGGTGAACATGCTGGTAGATTCAACGCTCCAACTGTTGATGAGGTTGCTGTTATCATGGTTGGTGATCCAGTTGACAAAAGATCTATAAAAATGACACGGCGAGACAATACTGTCAGTACGATTTCGGATCTACACCGTTCATATGACGCACTACAATATCCATTGATATTTTGGCAAGGACAAGATGAATATCACCTTAATATCAAACAGTATGATCCAAATACCGGTAAATTTGACAATTATCTATTTACTTTCTTACTGTATGTATAGATTTTAATTTCGTATTGCATTTTATTTTTTATTTTTTTAGGTGATTACAGAAATAAAAAAGTTAGCTCAATGAACTACTACGCACACCGAATAATGGTTAGACAACATCAAGACAATTATATCCTTCGATATCGTCAGCTGTTCCATCAATACATTGTTGATATGTATGCTAAGGTCGAAAGCGAACGCTTGCGATTCCTTCGATTCAACCAGGCAAAACTACGATCGAAAGAATATATTCACTTACGAGATGCTGTTGCTGGAAACATCGATGGAAATTTAAATCCCAAGGACATCGGTAATGCTTTCATTTTACCTTCAAGCTACATCGGCAGTCCACGGAACATGCAGGAATACATACAAGATGCGATGACTTACGTACGTCATTACGGCCGACCCGATTTATTTATTACATTCACATGTAATCCGAATTGGGAAGAGATACAAACTTTACTATTGCCAGGACAACAAGCCATTCATCGTCATGATTTAACTGCACGTGTGTTTAAACAAAAATTGAAATCCTTAATTGATTTTATTGTTAAATATTAGATTTTTGGCAAGTATATTTGTAAATATGTAAACAAAGGCAGTGATTTGGCCATATATGAAGTACAAAACGTAAATAAAAATGACGAAATAGTACGATACCAAATGGGCAGATACATTAGCAGCAATGAAGCTATTTGGCATATTCTCAGCTTTCCCATCCACGAAAGAGATCCTGCTGTCTGACATCTGTCAATACATCTTGAAAACGGTCAACATGTATACTTCACTGAAGAAAATGTTCTCTAAAGAGCGTTCGAAGCTCCGAAAACGACTCTAACTGACTTTTTTACATTGTGTCAAAAATCTGATGTGTTTGGCCAATTCGCGAAGGCATTGGTGTATGGTGATGTTCCACGTTATTTCACATGGAACAAATCCAGTAAAAAATGGGAGCCACGGAAACAAGGAAAACCACATCCTTCCATTACAGGCATATTCAAAACATTGGGGAGACTTTACACGGTACATCCAAAGCAACGTGAGTGCTTCTATTTACGTTTGTTATTGGTGAATGTTCCCGGACCAACGTCTTTTAAATTTTTACGAACAGTTAATGGTCGAGTATTCAATACATACCAGGATGCATGTCGTGAACTGCAATTGCTAGAAGACGATAACCATTGGGACTTAACGCTTGCTGATGCTGCGTTGACATCAACACCGAATAACATTCGTCAGTTGTTTGCAATTATTTTGACGACATGTTATCCCTCGCAAGCACAAACTTTGTGGGAAAAATATAAAAATTGTATGACAGAAGACATCTTGCACCGAATTAGAGAAACAAATCAATGCCAAAACATAGATTATACACCAGAGATGTACAATGAAGTATTGGTCTTGATCGAGGATTTATGTGTTCTTATTTCAAATTTTACTTACCACTTAATCATTATGGTATGCCATCACCTAATCGTCCAGCCACCGACTTAGTCAATACCGATTTACAACGAGAAAAGCAATATGACCATGGAAGTTTAGCAACAATTACCATGAGCAGTGAACCATTACTGACAGCAGAACAAAAAATTATTTATAATCGGATTATGCTGGTTGTTGCTGCTGAACAAGGCGGTTTTTTTTCTTGGATGCACCCGGTGGAAAATACAGTCGCAACAAAAAATCGCATTAGCAGTATCATCGTTAGGCATTGCGGCTACTTTACTGGATGGTGGGCGAACAACACATTCAACATTCAAGCTGCCATTGGACGTTCATAATAAACCAGATGCAATGTGTAACATCAAAAAGAATAGTGGAATAGCTGCAGTGTTGCGGAAGAGTTCTATAATAATTTGGGATGAGTGCACAATGGCACACAAATATTCACTTGAAGCATTAAACAGAACTATGCAAGATTTAAACAGCAATAATAAACTTTTCGGTGGTGCTATCTTACTTTTGTCTGGTGACTTCTGGCAGACCTTACCGGTTATACCTCGCTCTACTTTCGCGGATGAGATTAATGCATGTTTGAAACAATCATTCTTATGGCGAAGTGTTGATCATAAATATGCGAGTACAATTGCAAAATGATCCATCAGCACAAATATTTTCCGAACAACTACTAGATATTGGGAACGGTAAAATAGAACTGCAACCAAATACGCAATGCATTAAACTACCAGACAATTTTTGCACTGTTGTTCAGGATAAAAATGAATTGATTCAGAGTATTTTCCCGGATATACAGAATAATTATTTGAATCATGAATGGCTTAGTCAACGGGCGATTTTGGCAGCCAAAAACGTTGATGTTGACGAAATTAACTTCCAGATACAACAGTTGTTACCAGGCGATCTGATGTCTTTTAAATCAATCGATACTGTTGTTGATGAAAATGAAAGTGTAAATTTTCCGATTGAATTTTTAAATTCATTAGATATCCGTGGAATGCCACCACATAATCTTCGATTAAAGATTGGTTCCCCTATTATTCTCCTCCGTAATTTGAATCCACCTCAATTATGTAACGGTACGCGTTTGGTCATCAAAAAGATCACCGGAAACATTCTTGAAGCAACCATTTTGGCTGGGAAGTTTAAAGGAAAAGTGGTCCTGCTGCCACGTATTCCGATGATACCATCAGATTCTACAATACCCTTCAAAAGGCTACAGTTTCCAATTCGTTTAGCTTTCGCCATGTCTATAAATAAATCTCAAGGTCAAAAAATGTCCATTTGTGGTTTAGATTTGAAAAATCCGTGTTTTTCTCATGGGCAACTATATGTTGCGTGTTCACGTGTTGGGAAACCGTCGAATCTATTTGTGTTCGCTAAAGACAGGTTAACCAAAAACATTGTGCACCGATTGGTGTTAAATTAAATTGAAATTGAAAGTATTTATAATTCAAAAAAATAGATAATAATGATTAAAAGTTTAAGACTGTCTGCCTTGCCTACCTTATTCATGAGTTTTAGCGTCACATGTTATTTACTGTATTATACTATAAGTATATTATTATTTGTTATAAAATTAAATGGAAATAATAAATCTAATAAATTTTTACTTTGTATGGATTTCTGCTTAATATCAAGTGTAAGAACATTTTAATTAATTGTGTTCAACGTACTTCCCCTTCAAATCTCAATCCAGTGAATTTGTATACCAACACCAACATTTTCGTCTTTGTTCGTAAATAATTTCATTGTACTAAAGGGTTATAGTAGTAGAAAGTCAACTAAGGAGATCACCATATTTTTTTACAAATACTATCTGTGTGAAAAAGCATAGTGGACTGCGTGACTGGTGTTCTCTTATTGTTCCTCTTAGATTGTTTACTATAATGTAATATAACAAAAACTTTGGCCACAGCAACGCGTGGCCGGGTCAGCTAGCTATTAATATATAACCTTTTATTTATTTTTTCAGTGTAAACTGAATTTACTTGCGATATGATTTTGTTGTGGTTTTATTTTGAATATATTGCTTTATTTAATTTAATTGATAAAAATCGGACTTTTAATTCAATAATATTTTTTATGTCCTTATGTTAATGTATTTAGGTACACCCTAATACACGGACTTGTGAGTATATATTTATGTGCTCGTGAAATTGAGAGCTCGTTGAAGAGATCAATACACTTTGTACATAAGTATGCACGGATTGTTTGTGCGTATGTATGTATATTCTCTAATGCAATTGTGAACTCGTTCAAGAGATCAATGTGCTTTTATCTTTTTAAGTGTGCGCAATCCTGCTTGTTTGTTACAAGGGGTATTGCGGGTGTACGCCAATATGGACTTTGAAAATATGTAGAACTATAATTGTATATGTTTTGAATAAAGTTGTACCCAAGATATTGGGGAGCACACACTATTTATCTAAAATTAACACTTGCTTTATTTCAGAGAAACGCTCGCAAATACCTTTTAATCAAAATGCCCGCATATGGGGCGTAAGCAATTTATTTCACTTCTATACAATATGTTGTATATTTAATGTTGTATACACAATGAATAAAAGCACAAATTAGTTTATATAACGAATTGAAAATGCGTCAAAAAGCTAGCGCCCAGGTTCGTATAGCGAAAAACAATATATAGGATCGCTGTAGCAGCTGTCCAAAAATCGAATGTCCGTTTTGCGATGATCCCGTCCTTTTTTCTTAGGTGTCTCGTGCATGTTGTTCTCAGAGGCAGAGTGCGGTGGTGTCGTTGTGTGGGGTGAAATTCCTTGAGTGTTCACAGGTGTGGTGTGTTTCATTAGGGTGTGTCAGTTTTTCCCGAGTAGAGTGGTGCACTTGTAGGAGGGAGTTTAAACTCATTTAAACATGTTTTAATATGTATATATTTAAATATTATTTTTATTTGTGGGCAATTGAGAGCCCGTTAGAGATATCAATGCGTTTTTGTGTTTGTTTCGCAATCCTGATTGCTTGTGTTTTAACAAGAGGTTTTGCTTGAATAGATGTACATATGCGTATGTACTTAAGTTCTTGTTAAAAGAATATTTTATGTATTTATATATATATTTTTTTTTAAGAGATTGTTGTTTTTGTTTGCGTTTTAATAAAAAATAAAATTAAGGAAATTTTATTTCACTTTGTTTATTCATTCGCAATTTGAAAATCACTTTTTAGTGAATGTTTAAATTTTTAAAAATTTAATATTACGCAATGTTGAGTATGGTATAAAAATATAGGTAGTTGTATGCCGTATGTATGTATAAACTGGGCTTCTATATTTTGCAATGAAAGAGAACGCGAAAAAGGAATTGATAATGTGGAGGTATTATCCGTATGCACATATATGGATGTAAATATGTACTTGGTTTTTGTAAATATATAAATATGTCGTTTGTATTTATTTTGTTTCTCTTTCTTTGTCTTTAAATTTTTGTTATATGTTTGTGCCTTTGCTTACTTATTTTAGGCAATCCTGCTTACTGTTTTTGTTAAAAATAAGGGGTATTGCCGGAAAATATTTGCAAGTAAATACTTGAATTCTGTTTTTGTTTTTTGTGTTTCTAAAATATGTGTATTTGAAAACACAAAGGCAAGCTTATAGGCATTAGTAATTATATATTGAATTTTGTAAATATTAAATATTTCGAAGCATACATTGTACCAAACTGTTTTCGGTTTTCCGTAAATTGAACCGAAACTTATAACAGTTTGGTAACCGCTTTATTATGGTGTAAAAACGGTATTTCAAATAGCCAATTTTATATTAGTATATATATATATACCTATATACATATATGCATATAATAAAGTAACATAAAATAGAATGAATACGCTCACTTTCATGTTCCTCAAGGGGCTCTTTTGAAGGACGTGTGTTTGAATGTTTAATTCCTTGTTTAAATGATCGCGCCCGTTTATTTTGTTTTTATTTCTATTTTGTCTTTGGGTTTCGCGCCCGGTTTTGTTTAAGTTGGTTAAAATGTTGGTATTTTTTATTTTTGGCACGCACTTTATGTATACTTGTTTGTCAATATGTTTTTTCATTTTTTTTTGTATTATTTTTCTTCGCACTTTTGCATTATATTATATATACATATTTATATGTGTCACTATATTTGGTTTTAGCTAACACTATTTTAGTTATATGTGTAAGTATACAGATGTGTACTTTTTTGTTTTTTCTTTAATAACACCACTTTTTCTTTCACTGCACTCTTTTCGTTTGTTTTTTTGTTTTTTGTTATCTATTCTGTCACTATAGCTTAGCTTGTTGTGTTTTTTTTTATTTTTTTTTTAATTTCGCAACTTGTTGCTGTTTTTGTTTATTTTTGTATACCGTACTGTTTTGTTTCACTATTCCCCGAAACGACTTTCGGCTGATGGCGATCAGAATCAGGAGGTATCGGTGTCCAACAGTTGTCAACGAACAGTTGCGCGTAAGATCGCTACCTTGTCGAATCAGGGGTATATGCGTATGTCGATGTGGCGCTCAGGCCCGTAGACGAAACGAATGATATATAGCGAATGAGTGTAGAAGCGATGATCCAATCCTTTTGGTTGGTTGGTGGTGTGAGGCGTCCTCGTGTGTGGTGATATTCAGCGTGTGGTGACATCCTGTATGGGGTTCTCAGGAGTGATGTGTATTATTAGGGTGTGCCAATAATGTACCTGTTTGGTTGGTGTAGACATATATGCGAGGGGGAGGCTTAGCTCAGTTAACCATCCTCGGCCCCCTAGGCGAATATTTTGCCTAGCATTACACATATGGGCTGTATTATGCATTTCGGCGTGCTGTTGATGGAGTAGCCGAGGGCGCGAATATTAGCTGTAAGAAGCAATTTTGGTTTTAACCGATTTGTATTTTGGTATATACTTGAGATACGCAACTATATTCCGACAATTTTTTGGTTTTATAGTTGGCAATACAATAAGTAGTGATTGTATTTACGATTTTTTCTTTTATCAATTTTTTTATGCGGATTGTTTATGATTTGGCTTTTCTGTATTATCAGAAATTATTTGCAATCTCTTTATTAACGGCTTATGAGGATAGCGGCTCCACGCCTGGCTCGGATATGGCCAGAATGAAAACTCCTTTGAAAACATTTGAAGAGGGATCTTGCGAGAGTGAGATTTATGGTTTTCACCCACTTTTTGAAGTGAGATTGACAACTTTTACAAGTGCTTCCCATAAACTACCCGTTTGATGAGCGCTTAGATAGTTGCGATAACTTTCGTTGTTGATTTACGTGAGTACCTGCAGGCGACGGCCTTACCTCACGGT